GAACGCGCTCCAGAACACCATCCGGAAACGGACCCCTCCTCTGGAAAAACCCACCGGCGACAGTGCAGAAGAGGACTTGTCCTTTCTATCCTTCAGCCCGGAGCCACGTTAGCATCAACTTCGGCTGAGAGTTATGTGCAAAATGAGTAAGTTTTTTTTAAAAGTGCAACTGGAAAATGCAAATACTTAAAAGAGCTGCTGGTTTGTTCTCTGAAAATTGCAGTATCCTCGCTTGAGAAGCTCACCCTCGCAAAGGATGCTCGGTTCTACCCGTTAGGAGCTGGCCAAAAGCGGTCACCGTTCTTGACTGACTGCGGAATTTCACATCCAAGAGAGATCACAACTCTGTTTTCTTGAACTTTGACACTGGTTTTAAGAGAAGAGACAACCTGGAGACTACTCGGATGCCTTCTTCGTCCCTTCCCCCCCTCTGCAAAAAAACAGGCGAACTTGTTAATTGAAGAGCAAGGTGGGTGACAATTTTAGCAACGTTTACTGATATGAAAGATACTGCAATTTTTCATAACACAGTTTTCCAATGATTTCCTTGAAAGGCTTCGCAGCCCATCAGCTCTGCAGCACAGCAATTCATACACCATACTGTACAAAATCACCAGCGAGACTGGAATGATGTATTCATAGAAGGCACCATCATGCTTATTACATTACCAGAGGACTCAAATACAGTCAAGACAAATTGCACTGTACAATGCTGACCCAAGGGGGAAGGGGAAGAAGGAGTATGTTGAGCAGCCATTCCTGTACTGAAGAGGGGCGGATAGAAAGATCTGTCGTGAGCTATCCAGCTTGTTGCGTACTCAGGGCTACGACTTTGGACCTCTGGGTTCTGCTTAGTTTACAGCTAAGTGGACTCCTTCTGGAAGAAACTCATAGTCTCAGTAAGGTTTGCGTGTGTACATATGTTGGTCACAGCAAGCAGACCAGATGCCCGCATCGTTTCACCAGCTACTCTGCCTGAAAAAGAGGATGAAGGGCTTTTTTCCCTCCGATGCCTCCCGCAGATGTCAATAGAAATGAGCTCAGAGTACCCATTAGTGCATTTTGATGAGTGCGTAAACACGAGTTTGTCTGGAGCCGAGTGTTCTACAAAGGAAAGAAAAAAGGCAAGCTTCTCCAACTGCACCAACTGCACTGTTTGTGTTTCCAACAGTAAGAGGCAGAAACAGGAACACTTACACAAAACGTGCAGCAGAGGGTTTTTGACCGAAAGGACCTGAATGCTATTGGGCGTGTCCTTTAGTTCGCTTTTGTCGCAGATATTGAACTGGTCTCTTTTTTTTTTCTTTTTCTTTTTTCAGTCCTCAACTCTCTGAGTCTACATTTATAAATTAACAGTGTGACTCCTGTTGTGAAACTGGGGAAAGAACGTCCACCTCAATTTAAACTGGAAACCAAAGGATGCTTTCACATCAAAGAAATGATCAGAAGGGCTGTGTCACATTCCAAAGCCAAAAAAAATTAACAAGAATGCAAACACGATGGATAATGTACCACTGCCAAGACTGTCTGCCCACAGTGGAGGGTTCAGCGACGCTGTCCAGTGAAACGGCCTTCCATCTGCCCGGTGCCTCGTCCAGAGCCCAGTTTCTGTGCCATGCCGCCTCGCGGAGGGGGTCCTCTTCCGTCGCGGTCCCGCATCATGCCACCGCCGCCCACTATTCCGCGGGGACCCCCGGGGCCTCTATCATTGCGACGAATATCCCTACGGTCATCACCTCCGCCTCGGGTCTCTCTCTCACGGGCAGCTCTTGTTTTTTTCTCTTCCACGTTCAAGCGCACCTCGCCCCGGAACATAATGGGCTTATAGGGAAAAGTGTTCAAGGCACATGTTAGTCACCGTTTCACAGAGCCCGTTCACACGAGGCACGTGCAAACGCCACGCTGGCCACACACCTTGGCCCACCTTCCCTTACACGCGAAGGACAAAAACTGTTACCAGCTCCCTGCAGCGCACACCCCTAGCCCGAGAGGTCTACAGAAAACGGAACAGCTTTCTCAAATTCATTTGGCATGCGAGGAATTAACGGTCTTTCCCAAGTAAGGGCAGGGCTGTCCTCAGCCTCTCCACTGCCAGCTTTAGCCTCTTCACTTCAGGCCAAAGCTCCCGAAGAACTGCTCCCCCAGGTCTCGCTCCCACACACTAGAAATAGAAAGTGCTGCTTTCTCTTCTCTGCTCCCTCAAGACACAATCACAACCAACCTTGCTCCTTTTTCTGCCCTGACACAGAATGTGGAGATCCCTGGGATGCCCTTCAAAAGGTTCCCTACTCGACTCGTAGCTTCAAAGGATCTCTAAAAGCAAGCACTGAGCTCCATGCGGTGTCTGCGCACAGAGGTAAAAAACCTGAATAGGGTACGACGCCGTCTGGGGCCACTGGCACGGCTTCTGTAAGCTACAGAACGAGTATGCCAGAAGCACGTTTTTCTTACAACTGTTGTTCGAATGCCAAAACCAACAGCCCACACTACTCGGGGTTTAGGGCATTCAGCCCATCCTCTGGAGGCTATTCAGCGCCAACACTTACCTTAGCAACTAAAATTCGCTGGACCGGCTCAGAATCGTCAAACACCACAAAACCAAAATTAGGTAGTTTTCCTCCCACTCCTTTAGTATTTATGCGAAGTTCTACCACATTTCCAAAGCCTGGAAACACACAAAGGAGAAGCCATTTGATCAAAACTCACCAGCTGCACCACAGCCCCACTTCTTCCAGACACCACCTGTACCGCTATGTCATGTCAGAGCTCCCCTGCGTGGCCCTAAGGGCACCTTATGGGGCTTCTCAACATCTTTTGCTCTCTGAAATTGCTACTTACTCATGAAGAACTCTTTCAGCTCACTCTCATCGATATCATGCGGCAGGTTCCCCACAAAGAGCTGGTGGCTGTCGGGATAGCGAATTATTCGACGATTGTCTGACTCGTTCTGTTCCATGTCGCCTCTCCCTACGATCAACAGAAAGCAGAAGATAGAGCCCCAGAGGTTACAAGACGGGTGTAGAGTCAGATGGACGCATTTACGAGTGTGTTCAGCACCAAACACGTTCACTGAGCCAATTCCACATCTTCAGCACTCAAGCTCATGTTTAGCACGGGTGACACAGGGGCAGGACACCACCTTCCCTTTTACATGGTCCTGGCATCCTGGTCCAGCAGCACCCTTACGTTGTCACTCTCATCAAAACCCATGTTTGCCAGTCAGCTCTCCTGGCTTTCATCGCCCACCGTTTAGTCCCAGACACAGGTGAGAGTTGCTCATGCTCCCTCCAGCGCCAGCGCAGCATTAGCAGGCTCAGCGGCTGTCAGCTAACGCGCACACTCGCTAGCCAGAGCATCCTACACATCTGGATACTCCGCATGAGTAAGAAAATGCAGAGAACTGGCTGCTCCTAAACTGAGAGAAACGCGAGGCAGCCAAACTGAGAATGGTATTTTAGACAATTACACATGACGGGAAAAGATGCATAAAATTATTAACCGAGGCTGGCACAGAGGGGAGGTTTTCTTCCAAAGCACAGAGCAACAACAGGCATTTAAGAGCTCTCGCTTCCAAGGTTCCGCAAAACAAAGAGGAGATGGGAAAACCCATCAGATTCCCACACTAGCTTGTCAGAACTGCATCAAGCCACATGAAAAGTACTCAAGCACACAAGGCGAGCGGCCTGACTGAAACCCCCCAACATTACAGCAAAACGGAAGCTTGGAAATAACACCTGATTTTCCCACGAACTCGCCACCAGCTTGGGATCCAGACCACCCCCCCCATTTCTAGGTGGAGGCAGCAGGAGGAGTGAGTGCGTTACCAGCCGGACGCAGCACAGGTACAGACGAGGCCTGTCAAGGAAACAGTCGCAAGCAGACTCACAAGCTGATCCACGTTACCTGGCCGAGGTCCTCGGGGTGGAAAACCCGGTCTTTCCCTGGGACGCTGTTCACGTACACGAGGAGGTTGAGACTGAGCTTCAGGTTTAGTTTCGACTCTTGGCTAAAACAGGAGGAGAGTACGCATTATCAAACATCGGCCCAGGAAAAATCCCCAAACTCGCCAAAAAAAAACGCCCCCACAAGACACAGATAAGCGGCATGCACAAAATGAGCTCCAGAAGATATCTATCCATGTCAATGTGTTTGGGAATACGTTTTTTCACCTCTATATTCCTCTGTACCAATCCAGGACTGCAGTGTTCAGTTATCTCTGCGAAAAGGTGCAAAGCAAACGTCCCTCAGCGGAGCGTCTCCCCAGAACATGGCTCAAGTGAATTTCCCATGTTTGACCAGGCACTGAGACTCCCACGCTTTGATATTCAAGACTCCCTCAACCTGACAAACAACTCCACGCAGAAGAAATGAAGTTTCCTCCTGCCAAGCTCAAGCTCCACAGACTAGGAGGCAGTCCGAGATGAACACAAAAGGCAAATCACACTTTCTGTCTGAGTCCTGAGGGATTCTCCTCCTCAAGTGCAAAACAACTATAAGGAAAGTACCAAAGAGGAAGAGAACAAAACAAAAGCACTGAGAAGCCTAGTTAAGTGTTTCTGGTACAATAAAGCCACCTGAAATGAAATTCCTACAGACTTCCTGCTGGGGATATTCTTCAACCTCCCTCATGTCAACCCCATGATGTCCAAAATATTAACATGCTTTCATTGCCTTCATATTCTCAGGAACTAGAACACCTATTAGATTTTTCAGAAGCAAAAGAATGCTTTTAAAAATAATTTGAGAAAAAGAGATAAAGCAATAAAAACTGTTTCTATGCAGTCTGTTCGTTACTTAAGCATTTCCAGCATGCTTTAAAATCCATTTGCTGTACAACAGTCCAGCAGCTGCTGCTGTGCCACGTTCTTATCTCAGAAAAACAAATTTATCCTTAGAAGCACAAACAACACCAGCCTCTGATGAAGATATACAGGCCCTGACTGCTGCAGAGTAGTTGACATCGAACAACTCCCTTATTTCCTTGGAGGAACTCAAGCCAACGGACAGTTCTAGCCAGAGAGGAGCTGATGGGCGTAAGAAGACTGATTTTGACCTGAAACATACAGGCATTACACACCAGATAAGCGTTGCAGCCCTTCTACCACTCATGCTCAACCCAGCCAGGCATTAGCTTGCCCTTCCAACATTGCTAGGATCTTTTTCTTTTTCCTCGGTTCCAAGAATCAGCTAGAAAAATCAGTCTTCTGGTGAAATCTCTTTTCATTACACCTCCTCGCAGCTCACTGGAGCTCCCCTGCAATCTTTTACTTACACATTCCTAACGCATTATAAATTACACCTGAAAAGCAACACTCGGTACAGTCAGACTCCCATTTCTTCGATACTAAGAGCTGTCAGGCTCAAACACTCAGTCCTTCCGGGAGCCAGAACAAAGAGTAAGTCCCTGGTGCCCTTCTATTAAATCTCCCAAAATACTTGACTTCGACCCGCGTGCTTTGCATTTCCCTGAGCTTCTCGTCTCTCACAGAAGCGTTCTCTGTCTACCCAAAAACCTCGTCTCTTTAGTCTCCTCTCCAGTCAGTCCCACCCCCTTTTACAGAGGGACAAGGCCTCAGTGCTCTCTGGCACTCCCGAAGAGGAAAGCTCTTGTGCAGAATCGCGCTCCCCCAACCCCCTGCGGTGACCCCATGCCCATTACAGGCTGTCACCCCCAGCCCCAGCAGCACTTAACTGCAAGTCTCGTTTCACAGGGAGCACACAAGAGTACACCGCAAGGCAGAGATTTCAACAGACAACAGCTAAAGCAGTGCTCAGCCCAGGAGCCAAGTATGGCACAAACTTCAGCCTAAGGGAGCTCTGACAACAAACACGAAAAAGGTGACATTGTCTCTTCTCTTGGGGAGCGCACACGGGCAGGGAAAGGGACCTCCTTCTGCCACGGCAATGCTACTGGCAATGACAGCAAAACCAGCCACAAGTCAGCCTTTAAACCCCACCTTTGGAACTGAACCCCGCCGGAAACAGAGGAGGACGGGACAAAAAGGAGAAAGGGAAGAAGTGGCTCCGAAGGCTGGTATGATTTAATTTTTGAAATCATAAATGTTTCTCTAGAGTGAGACAGATGCCTGCTGCAATTAAAGAGCATGAATGCAAGGAACCAACTAGCCAAGCAAACAAAGGAGGAACCACACTTGACAGGAACCAAAGGCAAAATCCCACCTCACCGCAGCGGCACCACAGGAGCTAGGTCAGATGTGCCTCACATCGCTACCATGCTGCCCCTGCAGTAACTGCGGAGCACACCACTTACTAAGGGCACTCCTGGGCCGCTTCCACAAAGGGGTCTTCCCCCAAACTCACCACTTGCAAGGCACAAAACAGGAGTCAGGGAGCAGCCTGCCTGCCTCTGCCCCTCCAGCAGCCCTGTGACAGCTCCTGTGCTCCTGAAAATGGGAGCTCAGAGTAACAAAAGTGCTATCAAGAGAAAGAGTGCTTGACCCACAAGACAAAAAAGAGCAAGAAATGCTGACCTGCTTAACTCCACAGCTGTAAATGAACAGCAACTGAACTGGTTTGTATCCAGAACAGTCCACGTGCAGGCCTTTGAGGGGTTAACACGACAGAAAGTATCGTTTTAACTTCATGAAATACGGGGAGAAAAGCGGAACGATGCAGAGAAAGCAATGAGGAGCCCAGCTGGCAGCTGCTTTGTACCGTCACCGGTGCTGGCCACAGCAGCATCTCAAAAGAGCATCCACCCATTAGTGCCCTCTCGTGTGCTCGTTTGCACACACAATGGATCCGAGAGAAAAGGGAAAAAGTGCTGCTGATCTGTAACTCCTCTCAGAAACTGGTCAGGTGCAAGAAATGGAGCTAAGCACTGACTAATTCTGTCTCCAGAAGAGCCAAGAGTCAAAATTCTTGCCACTTCAGTATTGTTCAGCAATTTCCACACAGAATTACATAAACATGAAGTCACAGTCGCAGCAAAAGTATTCTAAAAGGCAGAAAGCCTGACAAGAGGCAACACAAAAGACTTGAGGGGACATCTCTAAGTTATCTTCTGCTCTCCTGCGCATGTAACTTCATGCCTATTTTTTGCAGTCATACTACAAAAATCCACCCTCTCGGCTGTAAATAAATCAAAACCAATTTCGGTTTTGCACAAGAAAAATCTATTCGGTCCTAGGGAAAAATCACAGCTTTTATGGCTTCAATACCACCTAAATGCTTGAAGCCCTGCTGAAGCTGATGCGGACAGACAGGCTTCCCAATTCATTACATGCCATTACCTGATTTCCACAACAGCCCTGTCAGACCACAAGCAACACCAGAAAAGGTATTGTGGGGTTTTGTTACTGAAGGGCAATCCCAGACATGTTCCCTCCTCTATGGCAGTAACAACCAGAGAAGAAACCAGAGCAAACCCAACAGCTGCCGTAACCCAGCCGCTCCGCGGAAAAGGCAGCCTATTAAAAAGGCTGGACGTGAGCTACCCTGACACACAGTGCTTTGGTGCACAGCGTCAGCAGAAGAGGTGAAAGCACACACTTGCTATTTTGAGGATTTTTCTCTAGGTAGAGGCAGCTGAACTCTTGAGTCTCAGACCGTCTCGCACCAGCTTGGCACACACAGGGCGTGAGCTACCACCCGGTCAAACCCTCTTTCCTCTTTCCCCTCCTCACCCAGTCCACCCAGGAATGGGAAGACAGCATTGTCCTGGCCAGGAAATGTGAATCCTTCCATTCCTCACACAGTCATAAGTTGGTACAGGGTTCTGCGACAAGTTAATTGTGAACGGGTAATGAAATCCAGCACACTTGTGGAGGCATTAACCTTCCACAGCAATCTCGCACCTGCTCAGAAACGGTGCTGCTCCTTTTTAGTGCTGGTAGTGCACTACCATTTTGTGGGGAGCTGGTTTTTTTTTGTTGTTGTTCATTTTTCCCTTGCAAATCAAACCATATCCCATTCAGAAACGTAAAAAGAAATTCAGTAGTGACTTCTCATTTCCATATGAACAGATTTGGATGTCACCACGACCCAAGGTTACACCTGTTACGTCTACGTGCCTTCGCTTGTGACAAGAAGGTGAGTGCATTAACATTTAAGACACAATTAATTTGTGCAATTTAAGTCAAACAAATCGATCTGTTAATTTACACAACTGAAGCAGTTTGCAGAAGTAATGAGACAATCCAAGGTGTTCACAGATGGGTTACCTGTGAGACTGGTGCTTTAACATGGGGTGGAATTCCAGAGGAAGAAACAGTACCACTAGGAGGCAGGTTTTTACTGGTCACTGAAGCCCAAGAGAAAGCCTGCAGGAAATGCAACAAACCTAGGCTACTAATCATGGCAAACCACTGACATTCCTACAGGGCAACTGTGTGCGGAAAATACACGTTCCTTTCACGTCTGGCTCTTATTGTGCAAGTGTTACAAGCAAGATAGAGCAGGACTGGCAGTTTGAGCCGCCTGTGTGCTCTGACGGCGTGGGGCAAGCGTGTCCCTACTGGAGCGAGCCAGTGTCCATGATGGAACCAAACCTAGGACTGAAAACCCTGGAGTGGTAAGCGTCTTCTGCACAAAGAAAGAAAGTGGATGCCACACATTAGAAGTAAAAAAGGAAAAGAGGAAACGGACTGAAAAACCCAAATAATACAGGAGACAAGCTGGAGCTAGCAAATGACCTCACTCCAGCTCTCACCGGTTCCTCCCATCTCCTCCCAACTAGCCAAGCATGCCCACACCAGAGGACACATGGTGTGCCCGGTGGTGGTTACCATTAGGAATCTTGCCTCTAAGGGAGACAGCCAATACCCCCGTGGGGATTTTTAACCTATGCTGCTGGCAATTTTACAAGTGCCAATTCACTAAGGGTTTTTTCTACCAAGAGCAGTGGTTCCCATTCTATGAGATCTTTGCTGGTGGTAGCTTGAAGCGTTTTCTTAACAGTTCTTAACTCTTATGTTTATAAAGGTCTACGTGTGCATAAAACCACACACACTTTACAAGCAGAGCATTAAATTTATGAAAGGTAACTTGAGCAGCACTTAAAAATAACAATTCTTTCCCTTTTTAGTGAAGCTTGGCATTTTTACAAGTTCAAGGTTCAAGTCTAGCTGGTCACAGCGTGACACTGGCAAGAGGTGCCACTCAAAAAGGCTCAGCTCAAAACCAAATCTTCTGCTTTACCATCTGCGCTTAGAAGCACAGATACAATTTTTAACTAACCTTTGGTGGTTCTTGTGGTAATGACACAGGTTCTACAGGAGGTGGAGATGGAGACTTCTCTTCTAGCTCCTCAAGGGTCTTCTCTTCTACTCCAGTTTTCAGCTCCTCGGTTTTCGTTTCAGATTCCAATTCCGGCTCAGGTTCATGAGACGAATCTTCTAGTGTCTCCTCTATCCCATTGCTACAATAATCAAATGCACTTTATGCAGCTTATTGATTGCTTTGTATTTTATGACCTTTTCATTTTATGACCTTTTTACAAGCTATGCTACGGTAACAGTATTAAAAAGAGTATTGTCTTTCCAGTTGCTACCATATGGTACCTACACATACAATGCAGCGAGAAGGTAAGCTGTAGCCCTGTAGCTGCATACAGAGTCAGATTCTACTCCTGCTGAGCCAGGACACGTCTTACAATTCTCTGCAGTGAAAATCAACATGTCAACCCTTTATGGGACGGGTGCTAAACTCAAGAACTGCTGCTCCTGAAACAACCACGGTCTGAGACCAACGGAAGATTAAGCTATGTACGCCAACAAAGCCAGTTTTGGAATGAAACCCACAGCTGATTTACAAAAATGTCATCCAAGTGCCTCACCACAAGGAATTGCGAGTCTTGTTTAGTGAACATCACATGCAACTTCTCTAAGCATGTGCCTAAGGGCCTGTATGGTGAATGCTGCCTTCACAACTTCTTTCCAGCTGGCACAGTAATCCAGCACCAAGACCTGACTCCATGCTTTTAGGCTCCAAAAGCCTTCTGTCTCATCTTGAGCAAGTCACTGCCAGAATTCCAGCCGACTCCTCTCTTCCATAAGATTTCTCATCGAAAGTGTTACGTGACCAGTATTTAGCATCATCACAGATGCACTTAACACACATCATCTAGTGAGGTTGCAAATTTTTTAAAAATGTGTTGTTTTTTTTTTTTTTAACAAGGAAATCAGGAAGTCAGTTCTGGCTGTTTACAAGGCATTCCTATGTTTCAAGGAAACCACAGGGGTTTGGTGTTGTTTGGTTGCATTTGTGTGGACTGTTTGTTTCATAAAATGTATCCTTCTTACAAAAATGTAACAAAACTTTTTTCTTTGATCTTGCTTAAGACCAATTCTTCCCATACAGCTGTACAGCAAGTTCTCAAAAAGCAATCCTTCCTCTTAGTATCAGCTGCTACAGAAATTCAAGTAACACATCATTACGCACCCTTTGATTAACCTCCTTGTTCACATCAATTACATCGAGTCAACTCACTGCTGGAGGTTTATATAACAAAGACTCCGTTAAGGGTTGCTCCCTTTTCACCTCGCATTAGAAAATAGAAGTGAAAATAATTAGCAACCAAAAGAACATGCCCCATTTCCTCTCTCCATTCAAGAAGCCATGTTTCAAAATAAGGGAATGCTAACGTTATACAGGTCCATATCAAGTTAAGTGTGCTTTCCTAAAGTTGCTATCAAAAAAAACCCCTCACGTTATAAAACAGATTTCTTACGTTACAGGATGGGTTTCATAGTAAGCACCGCTTGCAGTCTCTTGCACGGGTTCAGGTGTTGGTTGTCTTTCCTCCTGCTCCTCTTCCACCTCTTCCTCAGACTCTGACACAACAAGAAAAACTTCCTTCAGCATCTTTGTACACATACACAAGCTGCACTTCAAAAGCGTGTTTAACTAGTAGTCATCAAAAGAAAGCTTCATCAGCAACAGAAGGCAAAATTCGCTTTGTTTCTTAGTATTTTCACAAAAAAGAGAAACTGGAAACATAACGCCGCTAATAAGTTCAGGGAGGCGGGTTCGAGGGTGTTTTAAAGCGGCAGATGCTGTTCATATGGCGACAGTATAAGAGGGAGATTGTACTATTAGCTCATAAAGCTCAGCACCTAAAACTAAGAAGATTAACCTCAAACAAAAGGATGACTGCCTAAGATGCTTTGTTCCACCAAACCAAGATGAAAAAATTCCAGAAATTACCCAGCGAACACATGTACATACATTCTGGCTGTGCTCAGATCTGCTTTGTCTCGGTGAACACAGAGGAAAGAAACTACCCAGGCCAAGCTGAGCCCCTGAACAGAAATGAAATGAACTACTCAGTGTGACGCTGAGGGGAAAGTGAACCACACGTCGTATCTGAAAAGCCAGTTAGATTTTTTTTTTTTCTTCAAACCACTTGACCTAAAAATTCGGCTGATCACAGAAATCAAGGCTACCTGATGAAACCAGCGGCAACAGAAGTACTATTGCTCATCATTCCCGTTCTCTGCCAAGCCTCATCCACCCTGAGCCAGTCCAGCCCTTCAAGGAATCAGGGCAAACTACAGGACCTTCACTTTACAGCATCTTTTGGACCTGCAGGCAGTTCCAGCAACACAAGCTCCCTCCCAAATGACTATGCTCCATGAGAACACAAAACACTTGGCATCCTTCCGTCTCCTCTAGACAACTCCAACAGCTCTGCATTTGTGCTGGGGGAGCAAGACAAATGCTACATGTGCAGTTCTTCTCACCTTCATCAAGTTCTCCTTCCGAATCCCCAAATACTTCATCTTCGTATCTGAAGATATCATTATGGACGTAGAACTTGTTTGGGACAGAACCCTGTAAAAGAGCACCATAAATTTTTTTGCACTCACGTTACACATTAGCAGTCAACAACAAGGATGGAGACAGAAGTCTTGAGGCAACACCCTGACATTCTGGAATCGGACTATTTCCCCAAAGCCATTTGCCATCTCTTCTCTAAGCAAACAACTGACTGGTAATTTCCAATCAACTGAAAAAGGAAGTTTCAAGCAGAAAACCTCAATTCTGGGTTACGGTTATCATGATCTTAGGTTCTAACTAAACATCACATCCCTCAGTCTCATGAAGGAATCTGACTTGTCCATATTACACAACTTTGCAATAAAAAGACAGAATGAATTTCCACAGGGCGACTGCACGCTTGTAGCATTGCCTGGAGTAACAGCGAAAAAATTCGATAGGATTCCGAAACATTAATCAACCACACAGTAGTTTGTGATCAAGTAGGGGGAAGTAAGCAGAAAGACCGAAAGATACCCTTTACCCTCACCCAGCTCTGCTCTCACTAAGAGTTAAATTTGAGCAGTACCTTGTGCAGCCTCTGCCCGTACTCACATCTGCTGGCAGGTGTGAAGAAAGTACAAAACTACACTCGAGGCCTGAGCTGCAAAGCTGAACATGATTTTTTGAAATCTGTTTGCACCAATGGCAGCTCCCAAATGCAAGGTCCAATTTCTTTTGTATTACTGCTCCAATACTTCAAGTCGAAGAAAATAAAACAGCTCCTGACAGATCTAATACATTCGTTTCTCTGCACTCACATACTTAATGGTAGACTCTGGGCCCAGCTCTAATAGCTAGATCCTTTTTTTTACGCCAGTATGACAAATTAGAGCTACAGATCAGATTACCATCGTCACTGTTTGAAGTTAAACACGATCTTATACATCCTTACTTCTGGAGCAAGCACAAAAGTCTGCATGAATTTCCTCATCGGCTGCCCGTTGTTCGACAGCTCTCCCATGACTTGCACCACCACCCCGTCACTCAGGGTAGCGTGAGCATCCACGTGACGAATCTTGGTGTGGCACTCGCTGAACTTTAATGACATCACCTTCTTGTGTATCTCCTAGAAATAAAGAGTGACACGTAAGCTACACAGAGTTTCATAGTTCTATACCTTTTAAATAACTTGAGTCCGAAAGAACACCAAGCAGCAGCCCGTTGAGGCTCAAAAGGCAAGTATAGGAACCCAGAAGTATCTTTCACTGAGAACTCTACCTGAGCTCATTTAACTTTTAGTCTGAAGCTATCCACCAGGATTCAAGCACTACTCAGAGCAGTCAAATAGCATAGAAATTGCTATCCAATTTTTCCAGCTGTATTACAAGATGGGACCTATCCTAAGGCTTTTTTAAAGGCTTTTTAAAATAGCCTGTGAGAGGGACAAGATTTATCTCATGTTTAAAACAAACAAAGCAAAACGCCACCCCTACAAATGAAAAAAACCCCAGCCCTCTGTGCATCCATGAAGTACCGAATGTCACAGGAGGGAGGAACATCTGCACTGCTAAAATTTTTGTACTGTCCAGTCAGGTTCTTCGGGTGAAAAGAGAAGAAACCAAACCCGCTGTTGTTTAAAAGGCATACTGCTCAAAGACATGGCCACAACATAAACAGATACCCCTAGGTGACAGACATTATTCTCATAAAGAGCTACAACCAAAGAGAAAACTTGTGTTTTCTGGACTTACTTCACTTCTTCAACAGTAATCTTCCAATCAAAGAAAACTCAGTGGAATTTAGTAACACAAGGAATTGCATGCAACTCCCATAGATCACAGGTCTGTTCCCAAGGAACCACTTCTAACTGAAATAAGATGTATCAATAGCACAAATCTAACACGTCCTCTTGGTTTTGTTTCCCATCTGCGGTCCAGATGCAAAGCTGATGAATCAAACACCAACCCACAGGAAAACCAGCAAGAGTCAAACAAAAAAAAGTCAAGCCAGCCTATTCCTATCTGCCCCTGACAAGAGGCAGTATTACAATACTTTGACTTTCTTATCTGGCAAATAATGTAACTGGTAAAGAAAAAGACTGATTTATACGAGTGAGTTCTCAACATTACTGATGGCCACAGGGCTGATTTTGATACGCACAGCTTGACCATACACTGCTTCCTGTGGTTTCCCACTGGCATCCAGGCCTCCATGGACATAAGACGAATTCCTGCCATAAAACCTGCAAGCAAAAAGATGTAGATGTCATAGCAGTGAAAAAAGAGAACCAGGTCTAACAAGTATTTCAGCTGAAAATTGCTCAGTGCAACAGAAATTTCAGCACAAAGCAACTCAAGTTACATTTTCCACTTTCAAGGCTCCAAGAATACAGGCACAAACCAGCTTAACATTCAGTATTCCAGTTTGCCCAAGATAGGTAGCAAGCTACGAAATCAACTTCTACCTTTCACTTGCTTCCTTTAAGTGAGGTGGCCCTTTTGGTTAGAAGGTTCTGCAACCTCAAAATTATTTGTCTGCATTAAAGCCGTGCTTCGCAGCCAAGGCGTTAGCTTAGGGACGAACGACCCGCCGGCCTCTCCTCTGAGCATCGGGCAGCATCAAGGCCCTCTGACTTGCATTCAGCCTGTACAGACAACTTTTCTGACATTTCAGACAACTTTTGTACTTTCGATTCACTTCGTAATTTTGAGCCCAGAAAAGTCCAAGTTTCGTTTTGAATTTTTACTGCCAACTTATCAAGCATGTGACAAATGCTTAAGATTTTTTGTCTATTTAAATTAACAGATCAGACAAAACTATTGTATCACAGCTTTTTGTCATTTAGAAGTATGCTTTGCCTGGGGAGTGACCGCCCTGAGGTCTGCATGCTAACGTTTGTCCTAATGCTACAGGATATCATTGTTGTCTACCCTTCTAATCTATATATAAAATAAAATTTTCATGAAGTTTCTATAAACTCACTGTCACACACATTAGTAAGAATACAGAACATTTCCTCCTAGTTAAAGAAGCCAATTCAGAGGATCTGTGTTAAGACAGAATTAAAAGCTAGAACTTCCAGATTTGCCAGTTCTTGGTTTATCCTGCTAAACTTAGAAATTCATTCCAGTTGTACTTTCCTGAAAATAACAACCCAATAGTTTAAATGCCAGGACTACATCCAGAAAAAAACACTCTGTGAAATATTAAGATTGTATTCTTTGGCACCAACTGCATAGCCATGTTTTTGAGCACGGCCCGGGCCTTCCTAACAACATGGAAGAACCTCCTAAAAGCAGGAGCCTTAGCTCCATAGGCTCCCACAGCAGGTGTTAGTAGTGATGCAAGGGAAGTGCTCTTGCTATACAAAGGGAAAGCAGGAGGGAAGTGACCTGCAACAGCTGCTGCTCTTCTTTGGCTGAAGCACTTAGGAAAAAACCAAACAAAAAGAACAGACACACTCAGAGTACCTACTGTATTTTCCACCTACCTTTTACATGCCCTGACATTTATACTGAAATTTCCACTCACAATGTGGATAAAAACTTCTCAGGGGTAAGATTCTGCCAGAATTAGCACGCTTGTCCAGGTACTAAAATGCAAGTACTTCCTCTGCCATTCTCTTTCCTTTTCTTTTCTGTCTTTTAAGAAAAGGATTTCTGGAATACATCCACATCGCCATTTTATTGGCTGAGAAGCAGCTCACTTTTCCACACAGGAAATAGCTTGAGAACAAACATGCCGTACCTCCTTACAGTCAGACTTGGTTCTAGAGCATAATGAGTTTTCAGTAAGATGAAATAGTTTTCCAAGAGCCCAAACGTGAGCCAGGCATACTTCCTCTCATACTAAGACATTAAACTAGGCCTGATTTATAATGAACACGACACAATTTTTTCAAAAACATCAGTCACTCTGTGCATGCAAGTGTTACCTGTGCAAGAAGTCAGGAGCTTTATTTAGCAGAGTGTAGTACTGTCTCACAAACTCCCGCCCTACGAGCAGGGGACTTGGCTTCTCCATCACCATTTCTTTGGTACACAGTGTCAAATGCTGAAATTAAAAATATCCACATTAGTTTGAAGAAAGCCCCGCATATCAAAACTTGCCCAGGATAGCGATATTAGAATTAAAACAACAATGTGAAGAGGAACTTAATTCCTGCAGAGCTACTCCTCCAATTCCAGACACCCTCCTTCATCTCCTTTGAGTACGTAAAAAGATTTCAGTGAATTCATGTCTGTCTTCAACAAAGAGGCAACAATGGTGTATTGGGTTTGCATGGCCCGATTTTGGTGGTGGGGTAGCTGTAGGGGTGGCCTCTGCGAGAAGCTGCTCAAAGCTTCCCTTAGGTGCAATGTATAAGAAGTGGGGAAAAAAGAACTGTGCCACAACACGGGGTGAGAACATGTGCAGACACCAAGGTCACTGAAGAAGAGGGGGGAGATGTGCTCCAGGCACCAGAGATTCCTCCCCTTGAGGGTAAAGAAGCAGCAGAGACAATATCCGATGACCCGGCTGACCACAGCCCCCAGTCCTCGACTCCCTGTGCCGCTCAGCGGGAGGAGGATGAGGAATCAGGAGTAATATTAAGTCCAGAGACTGCCCGAGACAGTAACTGGAAGTGATCTGCCTGTCCTTATCTCAACCCATGAGCCTTTCGTTTTATTTTCTCCCCATCCAGCTGAGAAGGGCGAGTGACAGAGCGGCTGTGGTGGGCACCTGGCTTCCAGCCAGGTGAAAGCGCTACAAACGGAAATGAAGCCCCTTACGGAAGCAGTGCTTTTTAAAAATCTAAACCAAACAAAACCGCCAAAGCAAATAAAAGCCCTGTAAAAAATGGGCAGCGTCATTCATTTAACACTTCGGCAATACACTAATGAACAATTACAAATTCAAGTTCAATAGAACTGCAAAACAAACCAGAATACACTTTTTTAAGCTGGTAGCACTCTTTAATCTCAAAGCACATCTGCCTCAAAAGGCCGCTGTCACAGCTCTGACACGAACATGGTAGCACCAATATTCTTCAGTAATTATGTGGGCTGGATTCGCATTCCCTGAAGACTGGGAAGGGAAATCATTATGCCTCAGAGATGAATGGTTCTTACTTGCTCTGATCCTACCATCCATACGATCTCGCAGATTGTCCATGTCATAAAACGATCTTCAGCACTCTGGAAGTCTTTCTGATGGCTTGCCAGCACTTAACATATTGCTTTAACAAGGTCACGTCAGGAAAGCTGAACTCACTCATGAATACCAGCATCTGCAACCATGAGATTGCTTCCAGTTCCCTAAAACAGCATCATCTACTTTCTCTCTCAAAAACCAAATGTGTGGGCAAGGCAACAGGCAAAGATGACCAAGTCAAAAACCCAAGTTTCCAATTTGGGAGATAATCCTAGAAAAACATATTTGTTTTCTCACCAAACACCCTGAACCTGTTGATCCAAGCCAAGGGCCAACACAAAGGACAGACTACAGTTACAGCTGGACAGGACATAAAGCACATCAGGCAAAACCGAAAGATTAACCTCAGCTCAAGAAGGGCCTGTAATAAAGGTAAACCATACCCGTGAACGGTGTCACAAACGTGTGAGATCTACAATCAGAAAGGAACTCTAAAGAAAAGTCTCAGCTCAACTAGTTTACACTTAGCTCACGCAGTTTACACTTAATGGACTGTCAACATAAATCTCAACTCTGCAATCCAAGCCACAGGACAATTCCAAGAACTGTTCCCAAATACAGTTAACCAGGAATCACACTTGTGGGCAAGGCAGCACGCAAAGACTGAGATAAAAGCTTTGAACTTAGAGAGAAGAAATCAGAAAACTTATTTTAGGATTATGCAAAACTTTTATTATAACCTCCCAAGACTGTGAAACAAGAAGCCCCAGGGGAAGTCATTTTGATAGTCAGGCCCCAACCCAAACACCAAGAATACTAAGGGACATCAAAGGCTTGAGCCCTGTGTGTGTTCCAAGTGGAAGCACCCAAAGAAACAAAATCGGAGCAATTTGGGGATCTTCCTAACATGACTCATACTACAGCAATGGCACGCATGTGGGAATCTGACTTAGAAATCAACCTTAAAAAACCAAAGACCTCTATTTCTGCAGGTGAGACTATTCTTTTCTTGTTCCCCTGCATCGGATGCAGGCGATGAACTCAAAACTGGTCTTCATCACAAGCACTTTTGAGAATACTCAAGGATGGAGCTTCATCCCAATTTATTTTCTTTTATTAAGAACATAATAAAAAGCAGACCACAGCTAGGACACATTCTTATGAAGATAGCAATAAGCAAGGTAAACACGTTAACAAATTGCTGGCATGCCACAAGGAACAGTGAAAATGCTTCCGGGTACAAAACCTAATAATCTGTGACACATCATTACACTGCATCACAGAAGATCTTCTCTTCCCTGGAAGATGTGCTACTTCAGGAAAGGCCGGTCACCGAAACCTTTCAGAAAATCTAAGAAAGGCAAGCACGAAATCATCACACACGGCCAGCTCTTCCCTAAGGAGCTGAAATAGAAGCTGGTTTACATGCTTGAACAAGTGAGTACGGAGTCCACCTCTTTCCACCTCCGTCAGCATCTCAAGTGACAGCACTATTGATTTACGTTTCAGAATCACAGTGTTTTACAGGGTGACTCAGTACAATTCTTCACCTGTCTCAGTATTATTTCCTTTCATTATCTCTTCAGAGGTCTTAATAGGGGTAGCAGAGGCTTAACGAACTCTTCACGTCTCTGAGTCATTAAAAGGCTGTAAAATAAAAATGCAGGTACTCCTTGCTATCAACACAGGCACCATGAAACCAGTTTTAAAACGATTAAAATCTCCATGTGTTCCAATTAGTATAGTACCTCCTAGAAGTCAAGGTCTGGAGTCTTAGCAGGCCCAAGGAGTTTGAAGGTAGAGGCACCAGTGCAATCTAAGCCAAAACCCAAGGCATTGGCATCAACCATTTAAATAGTCTAAATTTACCATGAAAAGTATCTCCATGCTTTATCAGGCACTGATGGAAGCCTCATAGATAGATATACTCCATAAAAGTCGGTTTTGGTTTTTGTTCATACATACTCAAGAGTCAAGGACTAACAGCTCAGAAAGAAGACCCTGAACACTCCTCTCACTTGCGTAAAATGAGTCACATTTTTAGATCAGGCCGAGCAGCCATTTGGGAAGTATCTTAATGAGAACTTATTGCTCGAGGCACCCGCATACGTACTACCCAGAATCAAAATACTGAAACCAAGATGGCAAACACCAGAAATCAAATAAATTTATCTGCTGGTTTCTTTGCAGGGCAACTGCGCAGTTCAAGAACTCCCTTCCACCCTGCACGCTGATAGAGGCCATAAACAATGCCCACAGGGTAACACAAACACCCCTGCAATTGAAAGCCGGAGGACTAAATGAAATACGGAATCCCCCTCTTCTCCAGACGAGGCTCAGAGGTAAGGGACCCTGAGGCACTCAGTTGAGGGACCAGACTCCAAAACTGAAGGAACGTGCCTACCCACGAGTGTAACGTTCCTTGCAAATGCTGCTGCCACGACTCAAATTCATAACAACTGAACCAGTGGCGCCCACAGGCAGCACTGGATGAGCTTTTCACCATTATTTCAAACCACCAAGTTCTCATCTCAAGTTATTTCCATGGTCACTTCTTTCAAGAGAAGAAAAACAATGGGAGTGTTAGCACAGAAAGGAGTTATTTGCATGCAAAGATAAGCAAATGAACAAAAGCAGAAAGGCTATTTTCCTTGGAAGAGTAACACGAAGTGCAACTGCAGGGTAGTGCTGAAATAAACAGTAACATTCCTTTTATTTTGTGACGACACCCCAGCTACATTCTCTTAGACTCAAGTATAAGATTAGTACAGATTTTCCTAAGCTCTGCAAAACCATCTTTCGATGGTCTGCAATAACAAATGTCAGTTTTGATAAACAAAGCAAGACGTTAGCCTTTGCAACGAGATGACACCGTTGAAGGCTGAGGAGATGAGATGTAGCTCACATTACGACCATTGTGGTGAACTGCTACAATAATTTCTCAAGTCCCCCCTAAACTAGTAGCGGAGAAATTCATTCATTCTGTAATCATCTTTATACATAAAACTTGATTTATTAAATTGTGCTTGTCACTTCTTCACCTAAATAAAAAACCCACAAACACCCCAAAGTATGACCCATCAGTTTGCACAGGAGGACAGCAGCAATCCGTTTCCGACGCACTGAAGGCCTTTACGTGTTGAGCCGTCCCAATGTTCACTGGCAGCCACCTTGCTCGATAAGCAGCTCTCACATTAGAGAAGTCTTTCTTTCCTAAACTATACATACCCTTTCTCATTAACATTTCCCCTATCCTGGAAAAAAAACAAGTTACCTGAGGCGATGTGTCAGCTACAGAATGGTGAGGTACCTGCTCAAATTCAGGTCTCCAGAGTAAAAACTTTGACACAAACTCTCTGGTTGTGCCAACAGAGGTAGCTCAAAGCCACCTCCATCCTGTTTCAAGGCACACCAACAACAGTGATGCCTGGATGCTTCTATACAAAAAAAAAAAAAGGAAAAAAAGCTGAAGGAGGTTCTGACACGAGGTTGCAAAAGTGTCATCTGAACTTGCAGGTAACCTCCATCAAGACAAGCTTTTACGTTTTGGGAGGAAAGTGCAGGCCTCGCCATTTGTTTTACTAAAGAACTCCGAGCAAGTAAAAAGAAGAAAAGGAAGCTCAATAATAGCTTTTATTTACTAAGGCTATTATATGATATATTAGATGTATTATTATATATAATAATATAATCTTCTATTTTTTCTAATAAAAGACAATTATAGATTTCTCTTTTCATTCTTAATAAATTTTTTGTTTTACAGGCAGATTTCATCCTCTTAACACTTCCGCCATAGGGTCCGTGACTAAAGGCAAACAGGCGTTGAGCTACAGTTCTACTTCAAGTGTGGCTCATTCGGAAATCCACAAGTCTGCAAGTCATGTCCAAGTTGCTGATCAGATCTGAACATACCAC